ATGTGGAAAATTGGCTGCAGCTATAATTAAAACTCTGGTTAGTATCCACATTAGCTAGTTGGTCTTCACATCAGCCACTCAAAGCTCTTTTGAAACTTATAATTACTTGAGACATAGATAAAATGGCAAGATTTTTTATTATTGCTATAACTGAAGGGACCCCACAGGGCCTGAATATCATATAGGAAAGTCCTTCAACTGCTGGGAAGTGGGGCTCCCTGACTTGCTAAGATCACTTCTAACTGTAAATCATGATTCTATGACCCTTTGGGGAAACAGGAAGATCGTTCCATGATGTGGACTTCACTAGACAATCCCATTCCTGGCAGTGAAGCTACCAGTTCATGACATGGAAGGAATTGGTAAAGCTTTGGCCAATTTTCTTCTGACTCTATAGACATTGACCTGACTCTGCCTTGGTGGTTAGAAACCCTGATTCTGGTTCACCCTTCCCAAACACCTGTCGCTAGTGGGATCTTACCTTGTGTCCTCTTCAAAGAAAAAAATCACAGTGAGTAACTAGGGGGCCCATGGGCATAAGAAATTTCAGGTCACCTATTCTAATAAACAATCAGGACAGAGAAAATACCGACTTGTTAAAAAAAAAAAAAACAATAACTTAGGTGGATGAAATGGCTCTCGCTGCCAAGCCTGAAGATCTGAGTTTGGTCCCCAGAACCCACATGGCAAAAGGAAAGAACTGACTCCCAAGAGCTGTCTTCTGAAGTTCAAGTGCATGTGCACGAGTGCATGCATGCCTATGTGTGCGCACTTGTATACACACAAACACACACATATTTTAGAACAAATTTGGGAAAACACTGTCTACCTAGCAACTCGGAACTTTAAATTTGCCTCTAATAGGTCAATTCACTTTTATCCCTTGTGGTACAGGGAATCGAACCTAGGGCCCTGCATATTCCAGGCAAGTGCTCAGCCACTCATGTACATCTTTAGCCCAGTGGGTCATTAAAAAAATCCAAGCATTAGACGTGGAAATGCTTAAGTGGAGAAGAAGAAGACAGGGGAGGAAGAACAGGAGCAGAGGCAGGAGACTAATGCTCCAGTCAGGATTAGCTTCCATTGCCCTGAACCAATCACAGCATGAAACGGCCTTCATATGGATATGGCGGTGCACACCTGTAATACTGGCACTTGGGAGGCTGAGACAGGAAGATTATCGAAAGTTCAAGGCCAGCCTAGACTGCATAGTAAGGGCCAGGCCAGCCAACCTGACTGGGGAAATAGAGGCCCAATTTCAAAACAAACAAACAAAAAAAAAAGATGGAAGGAAGGATGGAAATCATCACAAGAAATAATGAGGACTTCCCAGTACATACATTTAGAGTTCAAAACCCAATAAAAAATACAGGAAGTATGGTATCATTTCAACTATTGCTAGATAAATCTATAGAAACCAAGAGTCCACGTATCAAATAAAGAATTACCAGTTAGACAGAAGAGGAAAAGTCACAGCCAGAACCAAAACAAAGATCTGGAAACCACATCAAACTAAGGATTTTTTTTTCTTAAAAAGCACTGACAGATACATCTATCAATTTGTTATAAAATATGTACATATGGACAATAATTCACAGATTAAGGAGTCTGCCCCAATTATCTGAGTAACTGCCTGTTTCTTCTGCCCATTTACTCTGCTTTAAGGCTCATGATTTGGTGAATTACTCTTTTGTGGAATTCACCTTGCAAACTAAACTCCAAGTGTTTGAGGGTGACATCTTCCTTTTATCCAGCTCAGTGTCTGTCTTTCTCCTTCTAGCTGAGCAGCAGCCCATGCTCACTGAAATCCCTTACAATCTAACTTCTGTTTCTCCTAAGGGGCTAGTTAGGTGTTTCATGTAAACATCTGTAGAGAAATTCTTCAGATGTTCTCACTATTCATTATTGTTATCAATGAAATACTGATGACCACCATAAGCACAAATAACAATTACTAAGTAAGAACTTATTAATTTATATAAATGTAGAGAACCAAGCTGTGCTTTGTGATTTGTGTTGAAGTCCTTGTAGCTTTGCAGAGCACTTCTGTGGATACCATTTCAATTGATTTGTTGATTGGATAAGCACATTAAATTATCATAAATCTACCCATCACCCTGCCCACCAATAAAAGCCACATCCTAGCTCTTGGTACCTGTTAGTAAATTAGTAATTAGTCATTCTTAATGCAAATGTAGTGATCTCCACATGGTCTGGCAGGAATAATACAGCACCCAGCAATACTGGAAAGGGATAGTGCTCAAGCTGTACCAACTTAAGCCAAAGAAAAATCCAGGTCAGAGCACAGACCCTCTCAGTCCATGGAGTAAGGGAAGTGATCTCAGTGGTTTTCCATGCCCCCTTGAGTAAGGCTTGCACAGTGTTTAGGCCTCCCTCTCATCCTGACATCTCCTCCTACATTAGCATTCCTGGTAAGGCTGAAGTGACAGGTGAATTGTTCACTGGAGGTGGGTCACATTGACAGTGAGAGCAACTGATGGTTGATCAGAAGAAACTGATAATAAAGTTCTGGGGGAGGGTGGATTTCATCAAGGTCACTAACTCACGACAAGTGGAGAGAGAGAGGAAAATGTGGGCTTATTGCTCAGGAACCAGAGAGGACATCCACATTTTCTGATTAACCCTCTCTGGTCTGTCTCCTATAGATGCCTACAAACATGTCAACTAGTTTGTTGCTTTAAAATGATTGTGCAACAATTCTCCTTCACCATTCTGAGTACAGCTGCCTTTAAATGTGTTGTGTAATGCACCCCCCCCCCAACCCCAACCTGGCCAAGCCCAGAAGCCATTGTTCCTCATGGTTCTCAGCATAGCCATGTACTATGGCACACACATTTAGATAGTTTTCACACCCCCTCCCACACTGAATCCTTCATATGATGTGAGCGTGCCATTTTGGGTTCTACCTCCTTGGCCAGCTGGTAAGAACACCTTCATGAGACTCCTCTTCTAATACAGAGTTGTCAACTGGGAGCTCCTACTCAGCCAGTGACTACATTTTTCAGCTCCATTTACTCTAGACATGGCGGCAAAATGGTCTATCAGTCAACAGGATAGCGAGTACCTGGGATAATCAACTGATAAAGGGAAAAACTGTGTTTTGGCTCATGGTTTTAGAGGATCCTGCAGATCACGACAGAAATGAGTAGAGGCAGCATTTCACTTTGAAGCCTTTATAGTGTGCCACACACCCATGCTGTTGTACTGTCTGATACAGTTTGGATCGTAAGCACCCTGGAAAGACCCATGTGCTACCTGTTTTGGTCCTCAAGGTGGGGCTACTGGGAGGAGTGGAACCTTTAGAAACAGAGGCTGAGTAGGATGTCATTAGGTCATGGGGCACGTGACATTGAAAGACTAGCAGGACCCCAAACTCTCCCTTTCTCTCTTTTTGCTTCCTGGCCACGAGAGGAACAGTTTTCCTTCTCCGTAGGTTCCTCATCACTTCTATCCTGTGCCCCCACCAGAGGCCTAAAGCAAATGAGCTTGCCCTGAACATGAGCCGGCTCATTGGAAAGCATGCATCCAGTTAAACCTCTTCCTTTTATCCACCGCTTGTTGGAATCTGACTAACAGCCCCCTTTTGCCTGCTCCTAGTTACATGAGTATCTAGGATCATGGGTGGCAAAGACTTGGTTGAGCCCTGTGGAGAAAAGAACCAGGGTCCCCCAAATCAGTATGTTGAAGAAAGCCATGCTATAGCAGAGCAACGTGTGAGACAGCCCTGAGAGACTATTACAAATGATTATAATTAGTTCTGTTTTAAAAGTCTTAAGATGCTTCGAGATCTTTTGGCACTGGAGTATGTACTAGCTAATACATGAACTTGACCAAGTGGTATATATAGATATTTGAAGGATAAGGAATCCACAAGCAGGATGCTTACCCCCTTGCCTAGAGAAGAGTTTGAATACTTTATACTTTCCCAGAAAGGACTGAATACAGCAACCCATGAAGTTCTATACAGAAATTGTGATTATACAGACTGATGTGGCAATGGTGTCTGAATCCTCTAGTTGTTCCCTTTAAATTCATAGACACACATTTGAATTCTGATATTGTGAGAGAATGTTGAGGTTGTCATAGAAACAAGTTAAAACAACACAGTACGTGAGATGTGCCGGACTTCCTAGCACTAGCAGTGCCCGCAATAAAACAAAACGATGTTATCACACAGGGAAAACCACTTGGGGTCGTGATGTGAGAGTCAACCATTTGTCTTTGCCCTTGTAGGAAGTGCAATTAAACACACTGGTTAGCTAACATTCTACAGCATTGCCGCTACTGAAGAGAAATGCATTTCAGACTTTAGATGAGAATATTGTAGAGGTGTTGCCCTAATCATACTAATCTTGCTTCCATAGAAGAGAAATACACAGTCATATAGGGGGAGAAACAGACTAGGGGGCGATATTGGGCCCACAGAATTAAAACTGGGGGGCTAGAGAAATGGCTCTCTGTGTAAAGTGTTTGTCGTGCTGGCATGAAGACCTGAGTTCGGACCCCAAGCACCCACATAAAAAATCTTGGCATGGTAGTGTGTGCCTATTGTCCTATCGTGTGAAGGGGCAGAGACAGGAAATGTTCCTGGAGCTGACTAGCCTGTTAGTTTTTGAGCCAATCAATTAGCACCGGGCTCAAGGAGAGATTCTGTTTCAAAAAATTAAGGGGGGAAAGCAATAGAGAAAGACATTGACTTTGACCTTCAGCTCCTCCATGTGCACTCACAGGAAAGCATACCAAAAAATAAATAAAATAAAATGTGATAGAGTGATGAGCAGAAGGTATAATATATATAAAGTAAGCAATTAAACCCTTCTGAGATGGGTTTGAGAGCACATTTCAAACCTCACCTCTGGTCTGCACTACAATTCGGACTTTCCTGGGCCCTTCTCCCGGGGCCAGCGCCTTGCTGTTCCTCATTCAAGCCGTCCTGCTCTTTTGTGGAGCATTACATATTCTAAGCAGGACTCTCCTACCTTTGCCAGGGACATTATTCTTCTCTCCAAGTAGCCGTAGGGCTTCAGAGCGTCTCTGGTCGTCTGCCCTTGTCTGGAGACAACACTATGGCAGGTGGCTGGAATGGCTTGGTGGCATCCGGAATGAGAGATGTAGCCATCTGGAGGAGAAGGATTTGGCCATGAGAATAGTTTAAGACTAATTTTCAAAGCTGTTCTTCGAATGAGTAAAATAAAGGGATTTTTTTAAGCCTTCAGATTCCCTGTCTTATATAATCTGTATAAGGCAATTCTGGGGACATTTCAACTCTAAGGAGAAATGAAAATTAAATCTTGAAATCCTTCACATCCCTTCTCTCAGTCTAGTGTCCTTTCTTCTCCATTGGGTCATCCTCTCATTTCTGTTTATATGCACAAATTAAACAATTTCCTCTCTAACTCCTCTTTGCTTCATTCAGAAACTGCATTGATCGACTTTCCTGGAAAAGATGCTGTGAGAGTGTTTTTCATCACTGAGATGGTAGGAGCCTTGAAAGACTAAAAAAGGCTGACCGGAGTGATGTTGTTAACATATGGAGAAATATCTGCATGGGATGGAGACTCCGGACCCCACCTGCAATGGTCTCAATCATTTAGAAGCAGAACAAAGAGGCATCTGCAGGCATCAAAGATACTGAATCAGTCACAAAGCCAGACAGTCTCAGGCGGCCCTTTGACAGCTCCGGTGAAACCAGGTCAAAGGCATCTGACTGGCTCAGTAGACAGAGGAAATCAATAATGCTAAAGAGTGGTGTCTGGAGCAGAAAACAATCATAGCAGACAGACAAAATGGTCTCTGTGCTCCGGGTTCCTGATAGAAGCCCTCACAATGGCCATCTTGACATTAGCACTCTGATATCTCTCCATGAGAGGAGAAAATGAAGAAGAGAGGCGGGAACAGCAATGACAGGTACCACAGAAGATCATGTAAGAGAAGTCCCAAACAGGTTAGTGCCCATCAGGCCGATTCAAGAAGAAAACAAACACTGCCAGGCTTACTATGCACGAGTGCAAGTCTGAGTTCGGATCTCCAGAACCCATGTAAAACTGGTCACAGCAGTGTGTGTCTGTAATCCTGGTGCTTCTGTGGGGAAATGAGAGGCAGAAACAGATTTACCCAAAGTTTTAAGGACAGCAATCCTGGTATACAGGGTGGCAAACCATGAGAGACCCTGTCTCAACCAAGGAAGAAGATATGACCTACACCTGCAGTTGTCCTCTGGCTTCCGCCAGTGTGCCATAGCATGTCTATGGCCATACTCACACTAACATACACAGATCTCACATATACACAAAGGAAAATAGGAATAAATAGAAGAGGAGGAGGAAAGAGATGAGGAAGAGGAAGAAGGATAAGAAAGAAGAGGGGGAGGCAGAAGACACTGTAGGTCTTCAAAATCACTGGTGATAAACTATAGCTTAACCTCGAAGGAGATTTTTTAAATTAGATAAAAGTGAAATTAACACTAGAAGAAACACAAAGCTAATTTATTTTAAAACATAGCTATTATATATTAATAACACGAGCCTCATGTACATTACTTCAAAGGAAACTGGGGCTTAGAAAGTTATTTTCCCAATATCCTAAGATCATAAATGATAACTCCAAGAATGAAGATCTGCGTCCACCACAAAAGCCAGACAATCGTACTCCTCCAAGACTTGTTTCTATAGTCTTCCAGCCTTTCTCTGGAGATCACTGATGGGCCACAGCATGTCTAGATCCCTAAGAACAGATGTCTTCAAAAGCAGTTGAGCTTTCTAGGAACAGGGTAGATGGTAGAGAAATACAAATGGTAGAGATTTGAGCTTAGTCATGTGGTCTACCTCGCTTGGCTAATCCTACTGAGAGAAAAGAAGGTTGTTAAATTGAAGCAATAAACCAGTGGATTGTAGTAGGAATCACTGACTCTCCCTCCTTACTATATAGAATGCAAATGATAGAGAAGGTCTACAGTGCTTGCCAATGCGTGAATTCCATGTAAGGGTCCTGCTTGCAGAGCTCTTCTTCCTTTCAACAGGTAAAATGGCACGAGCCTGCACCATCCTCTTGACCCATTTCACGACTGTTTCCCCAGTGGTAACAACAGAAAAAAATTATAAATGGCCAATATTTATCTTGTTTTATTGATGTTCGAAAGTTAATCTTGTGTTTTATGAAAGAAGCTGAGATGCAGAGCAAGCCCATAACTGAGGCGCTGCTTGCCTCCCTTTCACTGGCAGAGCGCGATCAGTTTTCCAGCCTCTCCTGTATGGGTATGTGTGGATCCAGGGCCATGCCCATGGGACTGTCAAAGCCAACTGTCTTCTGCGCTCTGCTTTGGTCACCTTCAATGACTTGTGCCCTGGCACCACCTCTGGTTTGACACTGTAAACTTCAGCAGCCATCATGTAATACAGTATAAAGGGTCAAGATTAAACTGTGCTGAAATAAAAGTATATTCTAGAGCGGTGGTTCTCAACCTTCCTAACGCTGCACCCCTTTAATACAGTTCCTCATGTTGTGAGGACCCCCGACCATAAAATTATTTTCGTTGCTACTTGGTAACTATAATTTTGCTACTGTCATGAATCATAATGTAAACGTCGATATTTCCCGATGGTCTTGGGTGGCCCCTCGGAAAGGATGGTATGACCCCCAAAGGGGTTGCCCCCTGCAGGTTGGAAATTGCTGTTGTAAAGATGTTAATGTTTTGCACACACTCTTAAGCCCATTTGGCTTTCTTCTGTGCTTTTCTATTGAAGTTAGAATAGAGAAACGCCTTTCTGACTATACAAGAGCTTGGGTTGGTGAGTTCCAGAGTTCTGGAGGAAGAGTTATGACCTAAGATTTCCGGAATCAGTGAAAAAAATCTTACGCCAAAGGGAGATGGCTAATTAGGAAGGGGTCTGAGATGAGACATTATGCACTGACTGATTCTTCCATCTTTGGGGAAAGTGGGTGAAGGGAGGAGACAGAGAACAGACCTACAAGTCTCCCAAGATAAAATAGAATTCTGCCTTTGCCTCTTGGGAAGTCATTTTTACTTCACTGGACTTCCTTTCTTTCCTTCTCTTCCCTTCCCTGTTCTCCCTTCCTTCCTTCTTTCCTCCCCAGCCCCTCTCTCTATCCTGCCTCTCTTTTTCTCTTTGTAATGTGAGGTGTCACACTGAAGGCCTCACATGTGCTAGGCCAGTGCTCGACCACTGAGCTCCATCTCCAGCCCTTTGTAGCTTTAACATAAAAATGATGCTCCCAACCTCAAAATGCTATGAGGGTCTTGTGAGATGATGATGTTGACTATATTAAGCATCGCTTCTGACACACCTACATTCTCAGTGAGGCTTGCTTTCTTCCTCAGCCCCTCTGACAGCACTCCGTAGATGCTCTATTTATGCTGGAATGGGATGGAGAAAGAATTTGCACAGTGCTGAGTAGCCAACGGGAGAGTCTATCAAGGAAGGAAGGGAACATCAATTCTTCACCTTCTTATTTTCTGCACCTTTAATTATCTGAAATAAGAGGCAATTTATAGCTAGGCTGTTTATAACCTTGGATACTCTGGCATCTGTGGCTGGGATGGTGTCATTTCAAACAAAGAGTGCCTGAGAGCCGTAAGACCAGATGATTGCTTTATTGCTGTGTGTTGTGTTGTATAACAGATCTCCATATTCTGATCATCAGAGTTGCTCAAAACTGCCCAGGTCCCCCAGATGGCCTCTGCTTTCATACTGCCCTACTTTCCCTGAATTTCTGCATCTCCAGGGCCATTACAGCCTCCTGACTCTCTCACACTTATCCTATTATGCTATTATCTTGTACCCAGCACTGGCTGTTTATGTTTTCTACTTTATGCCCAGAGCTTAATTTCCCCATTGCTGTCGTCGGTCTGCTCATTGTTTGTGCAGTTTACTGGGAAAGGGGAGGTGTGGAGATCTGTGTATGTACATAATGTCAGAGGAGACATCATGCAGAGCTTCTCAGTGAGGACCAAGCCTCTTTATGAGAAGCTGCAGACAGAGGAGAAGGCGAAGCAGCTTAGCTAAAACCATAAAAACCCAGCCTTTCCAGTCTCCTTAGAGCTGGCAACAGATGCAGTCCAGCCTGAGATGGGTAATCATCAGTAAACAGAGATGTCAATGCTATGTTCTTTCTCCTTTAAAAAAAAATTAATTAAAAAAAAAAAACTTACTTGGGGGGATGGGGAGATGGCTTGATCTGTAAAGTACCTGCTAGGCAAGTACAAGAGCCCAGTTCTGAACCCTAGTGCATACGCACATGTGCACACACACACACACACACACACACACACACACACACACACACACACCCAGGCATGGTAACACACATCTGGAACCCAAGCGCCAAGAAGAGAAAGACAGGAGGGTCCCCAGAGCTCTCTAACCACGGTTTATCCAAACCATTGAGCTCTGGGTTTAGTGGGAGAAACTTTCAAAAGACAGTGGAAAGCAACAGAAGAAGACACCTGATATGGATGTGCCTGTTCGTCTGCAGTCTGTATACACATGCATATGTATACACACACAGACACACACATACGTACACATACGAGTATCTTTGTAGTATGTGGTATCAAAAGCCACAGCCTCTACAGAAGGGTCTGCTTGTACTCATATTGTATCGGATGGAAGTCAAGGTGGTTCAGATTTAGCTCCTGGCTTACAATGCATCTTGATTTGCAAGCCCTGTGTCTCCAGCACTGGAGCTATTCTACCGTATCACTCAGTGCCTTCAAGTTCACCTCCCTCATCTATGAAAATGAACTAACCCTCTTGTTTTACACAGGTCTAGAAAAGAGAAACAAAATGCACAAAAGCTTGTAACATCATAGCTGATCCCTACCCAGGGCAACTAGTACTGCACGCCCCCATGTCTTTCTTTAAGACTGAACTTGGCCATCGACCTATCAACCACGGTGATTTTATTTACTTGCATGGTAAAGTCAGTGGCCTGTCTTTACAAGTGCACTGAAGCTTCCACGGGGGCTGGATTCACGCGGTCTTAGCTCAGGAAGCTGAGGTCAGGGACTGTTAGTAGACTTAGCTCAGGAACCTAAGGTCAGTGACTGTTAGTAGACTTAGCTCAGGAACCTAAGGTCAGTGACTGTTAGTAGACTTAGGG